CAAGACCTATTATACAACAATGAAAATTTTAATTACGTGCGAATTAAACAGAATTATCTTGTAAAAAATAAAACACTTGCCTTCATGATACGAAAAGATTTCCATACTTGGTTCAGTGTATGGATTATAGGCAGGTTTAAAACGAAGGTTCCGTACTCCTATATGAAGATAAATACAATTGAATACATTAAACAATAATTTTGGTACCATTTAGAAACAAAGATCACTAACCCATTTTATTAAAGAAAGTATTTATAAATCCAATTAAGTCCCCCAGCGTTAATCCTTTATCAGCAATAACACCTTCCACTTGGTGGAATTCGGCCAAATGAGTAGCATCAACTGTCTCGTTTCTGAATACACGATCTATAGAGAAATATTTTACCGGTTTAAATTCTTTCTGTTGCGCAAGATTATATAGCATGAACGAAGATACTGCTGTGGTGTGTGTTCTTAAAATCAACTTTTGTGCTTCTTCGATTTTCCAATCATAACCATACCCAGTGGAGCCATATCCACCAACAGAATGAACCTCCTTAACGCGTTCAAGATATTCAGCGGGGAATTGCGTGCAAACTGCAGGATCTATTAATAAATTATTAATTGTGAACAATAAATAAAGGTGGAATTAGAATTGCTAATAGTATAATAATATAATACCCTTTAAAAAGAAAGTATCGTGAGCATCACGGGCAGGATGTTGTTGAGGTTGGAATAGGGAGTCAAAATTCCAGAAGGATGACTCAACAAATTTATTGGTTGGCATTTCTTCGAAACTACATTGTTACGATAAGTTTAATTCCATTTTTGGCCCCCCAAAAAAATAAAATAAAAAAATAAAAATACCCCATTTCAAAGAAAATTTGGCGAAATTCCTCGCGAACCTTCATTAGTGGATGTAAATGACCACCTGAAGGTGGTATACCAAGGGCATCAAAATTGTATTTTTTGAAATTTGCTTCTTTCCATTCGCCACTATATGGATATGATTAACATTAAGATAAACCAAACGACAAACCAATTAAAATAAATGAAATCAGATTAGAAATGAAAATTTCTATTTTTAATCGATAATTATAATTTTTCGGGGTCATTTTTTAGTTGGGGTTAAAATGTTAATAGAAGAGTATAAGAGTGTTTAGAGACTTATAAGGAAGCGAAGGAGACCCCAAATTTCATTCTAATCCAATTTCATTATAATCTGAGATATTTATTATACCTTTGAAGCATCTCAAATGTTACATCTCGAGCTTGTTTTTCTATGGTCAATGAGAATTTTGGTCCTTTCGATACAGAATAAGAAATAACTTTACTAAATTAAAAAATATGGATTATATCGATTTCAATAATATTATACAGATAAAAAAATATCACATGGTTACATACTGTTTATCACAAAGTTTTCTTTTTCTCAATTCAGATAAAATTTTTGGATCTGAATGTGTACCAGTTGAACGGATCGCTTCGAGATCAATTTGCGTTTTATCTATAATGGAATCAACCTTTGAAATCGTAGAAAGTATATATCATTATCATCAAGTAATAAGTGGCATATTTGATCGGTTATAAACATACTGCGCGGACGAGATTATCTCCGTTCTTGACAACCCATTTATTCTTGAAAGCCTTTCCTTGCCCTATTTTTGCAGTTTCGTCACCCAAAATTTCCTAAATAAAATTTCAGTAAGTGCATTTAGAGATGGAATAAGTAGGCTATGGCGAGTTTAATACAGCAAATATACACACACGCAATGAAGAGATTGCAATTCCTTCTTCACCAATGGGAATAGTATTAAAGACCTTGGCTTCGTGGCTTCCCTTATTAGCAATTTCGTTTCCCTCATCTGTCAATAACCATACTTCTTCTTCAATTGTTTCATATTTGACCATCTATAATAAACACCATCAAGAATTGCGTTTAATGAAAAAAAAAAAAGTCTACTAATGAAAAGCAAACCTCTTTGTCTTCAACACTCAAACTTTTTAAAGCACCTAGTAATGCTAATTGATCCACCTCCTGGTTATCAGAGGTTACAAGACCTTTTGTATTGGAAATTGTACTTCTTTCATCAAGCGTTGTTAGAACCAGAGTTTGAAGTTCCTCTGTGGAGCTCATGATTCGGATAAATTCACATTTTAAACTTTTATTTTATATTTATACATTTTGAATTCCAAAGCATGATAGAAATTCATTGGCTAACATTAGGGTGTTCAAAATACTATCAGCTACAATAGTAAATCAAACATTAATTAGGGTTGCATATGATGAAAATCTGAATTTACTGCGGATAATATCAACTTTCGGTACGCTTTTCTCTTGAACTAGTATAATAATTAATGTTCAATTTTTTTTTAAAAGATAGAGCAAATTGTATACTTTAGTGTAATAGAGCCATTTTTCAATTTATACTATTTTATAAAAGTAAATTCTTTAACAATGTAAATGAACCTTTACTTAAATTTGACAAACATAAAGCTATTGAAATTTGAAAAACCGACATTATTGTTGAAAAGAGAATAATAAAAGCTATCGATTAAAAAAAAAATATAATATAAAAAAATTATATTCTTCGCTCAAAAATGTACCTTTAGTAGTTGTTTTCAAAAAAATTTTCGCAAGTTGCTATATCGCAGGTTAATATGACCGACCAATTAGATCACAGAATCTTGTCTAACAAAAACGAGAAAAAAATTAAAAATTTTAAATATCTTAAAATTTTATTATGTAAACTAGTCTTGAGCTTCTAATTAAAAGTTTTCAACTCTTAATTTTGCATATATATATGCTTTTTAACCCTAACCCTAATACTAGCTCGAACTCTAACTCTAACTAATCCAAATTTTAATTTTTTTTAAATATGAATCTGCTAAAATTTCTGAAATTATTTAAAAAACCAGTAAAAAAATCCTTAAATATGTACTCTGACTACAGTCGGAGAATATACTGAATTTAGAATATTTACAAAAATATACTAGTTAATTAATTGCAACCAATGTTATTGCTGCTATTATAAACTATAAACTTGATTTGAAAAAATATCAAACTCGAGTAATAGATAATACAACCTATATCTAATAATTAGAAAGATGTAGTAGTTCAATTTAATAAAAAAAATAAATATAAATACAATACAAATTAGTTGTAGTATATATATTATATATATTGTTTTTATATATTTTAAAAAAATATTTTAAAAGGTTTGGTGATCTTAGTGTAATGGTTAGGTTGCTAGACCGCCATGCAAGAGGTCTGGGGTTCAAATCTCACTGTCGATGAATTTGAATAATTACTCAGACCTTTGTACCCAACTTACAGTAAACTCTATCCGTTTCTGAGGTTGTAATTCTGTAAATCATGTTGTACCAATATCATTTGGATATTGGAAGTGTGATGGGGTGTTTGGTGAGATATAATGTTACACGAATAAATCTTGATAGGATCTATAAGCAGGGGACCTATATAGTAGAAATCCTAAGTTAGTGAAGTAGTACGGCCTTCAACGATCACATTAGCTAACGCTTGATCTAGAAAGAAAACTATGATCGAAAGATGCAGATTGAGTCAGATACGCATAAATCCGTTCTACAGAGAGAATCAGTAATACCAACTTGGCTTAGCAGTTAACTGGATTGGGAGAATCTGCTTTGTGAAACATCTAAGAAAATAGAATACAGAAAATTGGTGAAGAGACATAGTAGGAACTAAAGTTGTATGAATATTTACAAGGATCTAAACTAGATGAATCTGTAAAATAGGTACAGACTACTCTAGTAGATATGCTTTGAGATTAACTGGCTTTGTGATATCTACAATGTGATAGGTATAATGTATCTTGAAAGGACCTAAGCTGTTCTGAATAAATAGATCTGTAACGAGCTAGCTAGCTTAAGCGGTTAAGTATTGCAATGATGTTAGGTTGGATCTGTATAGGTTAATAAACAGAGTGTTTAAATAGGTAACTCATAGACAGGTTACAAGTATGGCAACATAGTGTAGAACCAATCAAGTGATCTAATCATCTATGTGGTGAACTACTTAAATTAGACAATAACTAAAGTTGTATATGTGACTTGTTGTACACTCTTCATGTAATTACAAATAGTAGGATTATCAATGTATATCCTGTATGCAATTCTAATAAAATTCTTTCAGCAATGTAAGCTGCCTTAATAACAAAAAAAAAAAAAAAACAAAATATTTAAAAAATTACTTTCATTAATTAGATTTTTAAGAAATTTACAATTCTTTAATTTATTATACTTAGTATAGCTTTTATATAATGAATATAATTAAAGTAACAAAGACAAACTCTTTAATATAAAGTTAGAATATATTTAAAAACTATATGATAAGCTATTAGAATTTTATTTGTCATAGTATCAATTACCAATTAGAAAATAATAAGACTATAAATTATATACTGTTAAATAATATTTAGAACAGTATATAGTATATTTAAAATTCACAAATTAGTTTATTAGAATGAAATTAACTAATTTTTATCTTAGATGATAATCATCTATGATAATTATTATAATATCATATAATATAGCTATACAAAATAAACAAAAAAAATATTTTTCTGACTTTAGAGTTAGAGCTCAGAGCTTGTATTAATGTTAGAGTTTAGCAAAGTTTATAGTAAAATTTTACAAAGAATTTTTTTATTTAGAGCTTTAAAAGTAGTTTTATAAGTAAAATTTTAAGTTAATTTTATTACAGATGATGATCACCTGTGATGTAAATTAGCAAACTTCTATTAGAATACTCAAAAATAATCTAAATATATTAGTATTATATTTTTTTAATTGATAATTATTTAAAAAATAGCTTTTAAATAAAAAATTAAATATTTAGATTGAGTATTTAATTATATTTAATAAGTATTTCTATAAATCACTAATACAATTTATAGTTAGAAAGAATCTAATACCTTATATCAATTTAAATGATTATTTTATTTAACTTCTATACAGATAACATGCTCATAAAATATCTAACAAAGCTAATAAATAAATTAGTTTTTTGTATAATTTTAAAGAAAACTTTATATATTTTTTAAAGATAAATTACTTATAGTATTAGAAACTCTAAATAGTAATAAATTTAGTAAGCTTTTTAATAGTTTAGAATAAGATATAAATAAAGCATATAAACATTTTATAAAATAAATTTCTCTATAAATATATTTGCTACTATCAACTTGCTATTTAAATAAAAATTCTAATCAGACACAACTCTCTCCATAGATCATTGGTCACAAAATTAAGCTAAAGGTTATTACATAGATAAACTATTAAACTCACTAATTAACATCTCTCAGCATATTAAGAAAAGAGATAAAAAAGTAAAATTACATATAAAGAAGTAGAAGAATAGAAAAACTCGAGCTTAAAAAAAGTGATCTAGAAGAAGTCTTGTTAAAAATTCATTACAAAGAAAACTTTTTGTGAACAAAACTAGGAATCCTAAAACACCCTGAAATGCAGATCAGCTATATAATACAAACACATGCAAAGCAGGTAAACAAACAAACATAGTATTGAAATACATGTCACGTATTAAAAAGTAGAGACAAATCATATAAGACCAGAACTGGACAGTTTATAGGCAAACTGAGTAAACCCACAGGAAATTTTGAAAAAAAGTGAAGTTACTTCTAGAAAAAAAATTTAAAAAATCTGAACAAAGAGAATAATTATCAAACAAAATATAGAGTATAGATAGAGCTAATAATCATAGATTAGATTAGATAGACATGTGAAACAGAAAGAAAGCATGTAGACTCATAAAAGTAGTGACTAAAGAATACAGTAAAAAAATAATAGCAGAAGGTAGCAGATCAGTAATAGGTCTAGAAGATCATATTAATAAGATGATAGCAGAAATATTAGAAGTTAATAGTAGTATAGTAACAGTAGCTAAAGAATGGAGAAAAGTTATAGAAAGAGCAGCAATGACTGAAGGAATCAATAGAGTAAAGAGTATTCTAGGCCAAGAAGTTAATTACATAGTAGCAGCAAATAATGAATTAAGAGTACAAGAAGACAAATCAGATATAGAAATAATACACCAATCAGATTCAAGTAGCATAGCTAGTAATATGACAAATCTAAAAATAGAAGTAGAAAGATTTCAATTATCAGAAAACAGAGAAATCGAAGAACCACTATGCCAAATGGAAGAAGTTCAAGAGACTAAAGAAGAAAAAATAAGCACAACAAACAGAGAACAACAGTATACCACTTCAGAGGAATCAGAAGAAGATATACTCCTTGCAGAATCAGATTTGTCATTAGAAAGAAGTATT